TATTTAGTCTAAATGACGGATTCGGTATGTTTAACACGATCAAACCTCACGACCGAGTCAGACTATGCTACAAACTGAAGGCGTAAAATCGATAAAATCAGTTTCAAAAGCTTAAAACTGACTTCATGTTGCTTGTATTCCAAGACTGACAATCGGCTAGAGCAGTAATACACGCCACACAAGACTGAACTAAAAACTGCTCGTGTCATTGAAGTTGGAGGCTAGTCTCACCTTTTCGTTAGATCCATTTCGCACTAAGGAATCCCAGATATCACCTAATCAGTTTATAATAATAGCTTGTACTTAATCATCAGGAAGGGTGCTTTTGCATTCTAATGTAATTAACTCAACTAAGATCTGATTCGATCTAGACCTTTTTGTGCAAGCTGCATCCTCGGTTTGCTTCTATCTGCCTTCTTCCTCTCCTCATCTTTTTTCTTCAGATCAGTTTACTTATCGTTTTAAACACGGTTAGTGCAAGAATAAAAAACGACATTTAAAAAAAAAAATCACGTTATATACATAATGGTCTAGTAGCTTCTAGTTATAAAGGCAAAGGATCGTTCCTCTTTTCTCGCTGAGTTCTCGCCTCTTTTACAAAAAAAGGATGTTACCAAATTGTTAAAACCGAGTTTCGCGAGGGTTATTGCGAGATACGTAATTCTAGTATTGTTTCATAGTTTGAATCTTTTACATGTTGAACTGTTATCAGTCGATTTGCTTCAATAAAATCGAATTCAANCGTGTTTTGTACTTCCAGCTCCGCCAGAGTTTTTTATCAGTTTTATCAGACGAAATGAAGATTATTACTAGCTTTTTCAAGCCAAACAAAGGTGAGTAGTTGTTTTGAGTTGATAAAAGTTTTATGTTTTGTCTTTCTCCTTTCGAATCAATGAAATATTCGATGGCAAGAAGAATTACATTACTTGAACAGTGAACGGCCATAGGGCTATTGCATTTAAAATCCGTACCCCCCGGTTGAGGACTTACCTTTTCATCTTACCCCTTAAGATTGGCTAAAATTGCATTCACCCCTGAAGACTTCCGTAAAACATGGGTTTACCCCTGAAGAATTGGGTCATACCCCTGAAGAATTTGGGTTTACCCCTGAAGAATTTTGTGAAAATTAAGGCTTCACCCCCAAAGAATTCCATATTTGTTTACTCTATATCTACCCCTAAAGAAATCCTCAACTTACCCCTGGAGAATTCCATGGTTCCTCAACCGGGGGGGTGCGGATATTAAATGCAATAGCCCATAGTTAGAAATTTTTCGATTTTCAATATGAAAAAATTATTTTCAATTGTCAGCCCTCCCACTTTTCATCTTGCTCCGCGGTCCCTGAACAAACGAACAAACAAACACAATAAAGGCAATTAACATTTGACAGCCTTAGACAAGACGATCGTTGACTTGAGAGGGTATAGCCTGTTCCAGCTGCTGCTCCTCCCTCGCTTTTATTTTTTCGCGCTCCTTTTTACTTTGCACCGCTCCCCACTGTCTGAACGCCTGGAACAGGCTAGACAGGGTAATATAACCTGTTCTGTAATCTGGTTGCACAGTACCTTCTAAGGTTTGCTTTTGGCGCAGTCCTACAGTTACATATTGCCGAGAAAGTAGTAGCCTTTGCTTTCAGTGGACGTATTCGGAGGCTCTCAAATGAGAAATTTTGTAATTACTTTTGAAGAATCGCCATTATGAGAAATCCTTCCCTAAACTTGATTGCACTTTAATGACCGGACTATAACTCTGGGGCTGCCGCCTAATAGTTTCCATAGCTACACTGTTATTTTGAGACTGTGAAACACCCTAATTAGTCTAAATGACGGATTCGGTATGTTTAACACAATCAAACCTCACGACCGATTCAGACTATGCTACAAATTGAAGGCGATTTATTATTATTATTTTTTTTGCCTGGTAAAATCAGTTTTAAAAGCTTAAAACTGACTTCATGTTGCTTGTATTCCAAGACTGACAATCGGCTAGAGCAGTAATACACGCCACACAAGATTGAACTAAAAACTGCTCGTGCCATTGAAGTTGGAGGCTAGTCTCACCTTTTCGTTAGATCCATTTCACACTAAGGAATTCCAGATATCACCTAATCAGTTAGTAACAGTAGCTTGTACTTCATCATCAGAAGGGTGCTTTTGCATTCTAACGTAATTAACTCGACTAAGATCTGATTCGATCTAGACCTTTTTGTGCAAGCTGCATCCTCGGTTTGCTTCTATCTGCCTTCTTCCTCTCCTCATCGTTTTTCTTCAGATCAGTTTACTTATCGTTTTAAACATGGTTAGTGCAAGAATAAAAAACGACATTTAAAAAAAAATATCACGTTATATACATAATGGTCTAGTAGCTTCTAGTTTTAAAGGCAAAGGATCGTTCCTCTTTTCTCGCTGAGTTCTCGCCTCTTTTACAAAAAAAGGATGTTACCAAATTGTTAAAACCGAGTTTCGCGAGGGTTATTGCGAGATACGTAATTCTAGTATTGTTTCATAGTTTGAATCTTTTACATGTTGAACTGTTATCGTCGATTTGCTTCCATAAAATCGAATTCAAGGAGCCACATAGACTACGGTAAAAACGACCCAAAAAAAGCTGTACACGTGCATCACACTCTTTGCTACGCCTCTTTGACGTCACTGCACAATTACGACATGAAACTTTCTAACGCGACTTTTTATGTTTTATGGAGGACGTGGACTTGCGAAGACGAAATTTTCTTTCTCTTTTTGAACTTGTTTTAAATAGTCGTCAAGAGTTCAACTCCACGAAAATTTGTCAACACTGAACTGAGCCAAGTTTAGCGATGCTATATAAAACGCAATATAGATGATTTGAAAGAAAGCAACTTCATTTTTATTTTCAATGATACCCTTACACAAATCTTTAGGTGCTTCAAAGCGCGCGACGCTCCCTGGGTGTCTGAGTGGTCTAGTCGTTAAATACACACCTTACCATTGATGATACTCCACAATCGCCTGATTAATAAAAAAACAAATTTAGAGTAATTTAATTACTTACTGAAAGGACCTGCTTTAGTTCCTAGTACTAGAGTTCCTTCCCACTGCTGACGATTTTCAGCTAACACTTTTAAGCACTTTGCGGATTCCCTTGCTCCACAAATTTGCTCAAGGATGCGGAAGAACGCTTTCTTTAAGGTTTCCGGGAAAACATCACTCCTTTATTCACTGAGAATGCTGTTGACGTAGTTAACTTTTTTAAAATAGTTTTGATACTTTGCTAATCGTGCAAAAACAGGGACAGTCATTTTATTGATTTTGCGGTATTTGAATTTCTCTTTTATTCTTCAGCTAGCGGGTGCCTTTATTTGCTGGTGAATCTAACTATCCCCGACAACAGGCGAAAATTGATGATTTTGGACATTATGAACCTGACCACAATGAGGTTTTAGTCACTAATATAGATGCAGAAAAAAAAGAAGCTGATCTTGTGTGAACTGCAAAAGTTATGCTGAGGTTAGAGTTCGAAAATGACGATTACGTCTTAAGTTAATAACGGTTGAAAAAAAACATTTTTCATTTCTTTCCAAATCAACATCAAGAAGCTCACATTTCAAGTTTCAAGTACATAACATCGTCACTCAGGGAGTATCCACAGGTCCGTAAGTGTGTGTGTTGGAGGGGGGGGGACAGGGAGGTCCAGCCCTCCCGCCTTCCGTACCTTGCCTTCCCAGCTCCCTTTCATTTTTTTAGCTTTCTCCCTTTAGCCTTCTCGATTACAAAACATTAATTATATTTGCGAAATGCACCCTCCTACAACTCCCCCTCCCGCTTCCCGTTCCCCTTCTGCCCCTATCCTTCCGGGCTCCTAGCCCCCCTGCCCTCCCTCATTTAAGTTCGAAGGTCTTCGCACGAGTGTGCTGAAGCAATATCCAAGACTGAAATGGAACATTGGGACATTGGGACAATAGTGAAGGTGACCTTCTTTGCATTATAATCGATATTGGCCTTAGCTTTTTTTTAATTGAATAACTATTGTCAGGAGCCGACTCCTGCTATTGTTTATGGAATACTACCCCACTGGAAATGGAAATGGAACATTGGGACATTGGGACAATAGTGAAGGTGACCTTCTTTGCATTATAATCGATATTGGCCTTAGCTTTTTTTTAATTGAATAACTATTGTCAGGAGCCGACTCTTGCTATTGTTTATGGAATACTACCCCACTGACAGTTTACTTTTCGACCATGTCAGTTTACTTTTCCGTCGCACGCTGTAATGTTGCTGCTAAGAAATATGGCAGCCCGAGGTGTTTCTCAACATTTTGGGTGTTCGTGAGCGTAATTCCCTCGATATCACTGAGGTATGACGTAACGCATCTAGTGACAGTTATGGTGCTAAGTTATATGTAAGTACTTTTTCTCTAGACTGAAACAACGGCAGAAGTGCCGTTTTAAAATCTATACACAAAAAAGAGAAGAGTTGCGAAGTCAAATCTACTTCCATTAGCGATAAGAAATGCCACAGTATGCTTTCGTGGATACGCTGATTTTAATACATCTCCTTCGTTTACTTGTACAAAGCTAACAAAAACAAAAAAACATCTAAATTAATGACCTCTCATTGTAAGACTAATACACTTTTTTTTAAAGGGTGACTCCCTTGAACTATTGTCGGCTCAGACTAAAGCTTCAGTTTTACTGAGCGTCATCTAAAGTTCGTATAAAATGTCAATGTTTTATAGTTGACCCTTACAACAACTATGAAATTAGACTTTCTTCAAATCCATCGTTTTTTCTGATAATGGCTGCCCCTTTGGCGCAATCACACAAAAAGCTATACTACTCTCCCCAGGACTCTAATGTTCTCTCCACGGCACAGGACGAAGAGAGACCCGGGGGACGAGGCTGCTTCTATCTGAGTACGTCACAAAGCCAATCGCAATGTTGATTATACAGGCGCGCCTCCACAGCTTTTTCTAAACCAGCGGAGGACCAAACAACTGACAAAACTTGTGTTCAGGAGACCATCACCAAAGGGCCTGCAACAACTTTCTAATAATAACTGGATTTTAAGTTGTTTTCAGATTCATCTTTCGCGCCAAAAAACTCTCAGCCAATCAGAGCAGAGTAAAATTTACGGAAAATAAACAGCAATAGCGGATGGTGAAATGTCAAGCAAAGGTAGTTAAATCAATTCATTGAATAACCGATTAACTCTATCTTTGAGTTTAGAGACATCAGAATCTAGCAACGGAAGCGATTTCTGTCGTGAAGAACAACTCAAATTGCTGCACCTAGTTAAATCTAAAAATAGCCTCAATGTCTAACATTCTATTACACTTATTGAAGGCAAATGAAGACTCTAGGATCATTGGCTCCAGGTTTCTTAAACAAGTCCTTTTAAAAATAACAATACCTAAACAACATTGTCCAACTATAAGTGGGGATATAAGTTGACTATGTCACATCATTCGAAGAACTGGCTGGTCTTTCCCATAAAAACAAAAACATTTTCACGGGCTATTCTGGGGATAATAGATTCCACTACTATTTACGTTTAAAGACTATGGCATTCCAAATTTTTTTTCCAGTCTAACGGAACATAATAATTTTCTAACACAATTGAGTACAAAAACTGTTTTCTATAGCTCGTTCTTACACGTACTAACTAAATGTTCAGCTCCACGAAGTAGGATGAATGACTAACATTACTGTCCAACTCCACAGTGGTTCAGCTCACGAGAAAGCTGACATAATACACAGGGTGCACAACACTGGATTGTGCAGTAATCATTGCACAGGGAACCCTGAAAAAGAAAGGAGAAAGTTGTGTTTTTAAAACTGTTTTCCTAACAAGCGTGAATTTTTTCCTTCTCTTACCCTATCCTTAAGCTAAGACATGGCTCGACATAATCTAAGGTAAAGTAAGGTAATCTTTATTTATGCACGGTTACAAATTCATCAGGCAAGAAATATTTTACAATTTTAAAATCTTCGAGATTATTTATTTTAAAAAAGACAGTTCTTAAAACACAACTTTAGGATATCAACTAACCAGTAATTCCAAAGTTAATTCTAATTCATAATTCGAAGGCACCTAAAGCACTAAAAATGGAATTCACATTATTTTGTAACTTAAGATATCATGATCAATAGACTTCTTTCAGTTTGACAGCCTATTAATATATTCTTTTATGTGTACTAGCCTTTCTGACCTCATTAGCATGAGCAAAATACAAAGGAATTCTTACTTTCAAACGAGGTCAGAAAGCCTGATTATCACATACACATAAACGAATATATTAATAGGCCACCATTATGAAAGAGATTAACGTCATCACTACAATCATCAACATTATTACCCATCATCATTATCACCACCATTCTCTTCTTTATCATCACCATAATCATTATCATCACCAGCAACATCACTGACTCCTTAGGACCATTAATGGTACTATCACAACCACCACCACCACCTATCATCATCATCATCACCACTCCCATCATCTGCAAACCCATTAACACCACGTGACAAATAAAAAAATCACAGAGGACCAATCAAAGTCGCAAATAATTTTTTTTAGTCTTGCGGATCTCCTTCAAGACGGGATACATGCACTAGAACTCAGTCAAGGCACCAAACAATAAACAATATGAAAGGCTCTTAAAACAGAAACCAAGTAGGCAAAGATTGGTTAGTAACCTATTTGCCCATGAACCACCTGTAACCGCCCGTGAGGATCCATGCCCGGGGGGCGGGGGGCGGGGGGTACTCCCATACATTACCTATACGGGTATGTGCCGCCCAACAGGGTAGTGATTTTGAAGCTCCTGATTTAGAACGGGGTATCCAAATCAGAGGCGTTTTCTAGAACGGGGTATAAAAAATTGTGGATCGCGGCTTTATCTTCTGCTTAAAATTGTTGCTGATTATGAAAAAGCATTTATTTGATGTATAAGTCGAACAAATAAAGAAATATCTTTTTAAAAAAACAGGGCTATTTCAATTTACAAACTTTCTAGAACAGAGTATAAACAATTGGCCCATTTCTAGAATGGGGTATCAGTTTTAGGGCGAATTCTAGAACGGGGTGTAAAAAAATTGGCCCATTTCTAGAATGGGGTATCAATTTTAGGAGAATTTTTTTTTAGAACGGGGTGCCAATTTGGAGTCCCGGGCGGCACATACCCACCCAAAAAATACCCAAGTGCCCCCCCTGGGGATCCATGTCCCTTCTACAGCTAGTGATATCATCAGTCTTAACAGTCAAGGACAACTATGTCTACTAAATTGTGCAAGGGTGAAGAGATCTTTCAAACCATACCAGAATGAGCATGATTAGGTCAAGGAGGCTGCAGAAAAGGGCAAAAATCATGTAACAATGATCCGAAAATTTCCATGGAAATCTGGTTCCACTATCCACCTATCTTTCCTTCCATCTAATCCTAAAATCCTAAAAGCTTTCCCAAAAAGTTTTCCCACTGAAATGAAGCCTATTTAATACCAAGTAAACGAAAAAAACTGAGGCAAGAAAAGCAAAAGATTAGAGGGGAGAAAAGAAAGCAAAAAGAAAAAGTCAAGACTACTATGTCACTTTTAAACCCAAAAACTATCTTGAAGTTTTGCTTTCTGCACATGCCCAAACTTTGCAAGCTAATATTTTGCTGGATTAGAAGGTGGCATAGTACCCGACCTGTGAATGGTTTTGTGGTAAGTTTTAGCTCTTAATAGCCAGACAGTGACCAGAAAGCGACTCGAAGAGCTTCAAACTGCGATTTTCGGCAAAATTGCCGGGAGCAAATGGGTTAATGCTAAATATTTTGTCTAGCAGAACTAGAAGAGCAAAGACTAGAACTTTTATATACTAGTCAAATTTATTGACCAATATTAATGAAACACATAGACTTCAATTCTATTTTATTAGTCTTTGATATGCTTTTTTTTTACCATCAATCACCATCACAACCTCACCACTACTACAACCACCATCATAGAAAACATTGTCATCATTATTAGAATCATCAGCCTACACTGTACTGTACCTGAATGTTTTGCTGAACCCTCATCTTCACTCGTAGTCCAACCAAAGCTCCAGCACAGCATGTTGCAAACATACAGCCTTCACCCATCCTTGATGAGACATCACACAGCAAGATGCAAGGACAAAATAATCCCAAACAGCCTGCACAAAAAACAACCAAACAAACAAGTTAATAATTGTGTTAATGCAGTTCAACTAATTTTCAGTGCAATCGGACATCCGCAATGCTCACAGTCATCACAGCTGCACTGGGAGAGCAAGTTTGCCTCATGGCCTAATGATGATCAAAGAATTACCCAGTGTTCTCCTGAAAATTTAGCTCAGCAGGTAAAGGACCATTCATGGCCTGGCCAGTAAGGCAAAAATATGCCCCACAGGTGCACTTTTCAGGGGGAGGGATAGTGGAGTGAGGGACATGGCCCCTCCCTCTTTGAGAAATTTAGGAGCTAAGTTCTCTGAAACGCCATTCCCTAATTTGAAGACCTATTTTATGGAAATCAGCCATTGTTATCTTTAGACAACAATATTTAAAACGTTTGATTGCAATAATCTTACTCTGTCTCCAATGTTCTCTTCTCAAAATGTGTGGCCCATAATAATAAAGATAGCTGTGTATACTTAAGTACTTTTCCACATATTATATTAATCATTTTCCTTGTGAGAATCCGATCGGATCACAACTTCATTTTTTTTTTAAATCTACTTTTTTTAATACACCTTCAAGCAGTTGCAGATGGTAAGAAGTGTTCAGTTGCTTCATGCAATAAATTTTACTGGTTACCTCCTTATGAGGAGAACACTGATTACCACAAGAGAGCAGAAATGACAATAAAGTCCTTTGTTTGCGACACAGTGATGTGCAGTGCCGAGGGGTTTAGTCGACTTTTCAGTGAATCGGTACATGCCTAATTAACACCAAACATTAGCCATGTAATGGTACACCGAAAGTTAGAGAGACTACATATAAAGAGCTCCACTTGTCCAATAGATTGGGTTACATAGAAGACTGGTGGAGGAGATATATTTTGTTGCAGGTGAGATTAAAAAGGACATCAAACTTAAAACTAATTATTATATAAATTCCTTTAATGCTTAAGCTCTGCTCTTTCCTGGTCTCTTTCTTTGATATAGCTGAAACTCCTATAAAACCCACCCAAAAATGTGTAGGTTTAGTGGTCATTTACAAGAATCAAACCACAGCGATCTTTTCAATCACCTACAGACTGGAATCCCCATTATTTTGTCGAATACACTTGATTTTTCAAAACTCCCAATATTATTTACGATGTGTGTAGACTTTCATTTGCCACCAAAAGTTCTTCATATATTCTGAGTAGTGCAGTACATACACTGAACATAGAGAACAGACCATGAGTCAAGTGGTTATAATTACCCATCACCTGTGGTAACAATGGAAGTGGCTGCTTATGAGAGGTTCTCACTATAGGGCTTTGGCTGAAATGTTTTTGGTGTTTTTCGATGGATAGTTGCTTATGAGGTTATTGCTTATCAGTGCTAGTTGCACATATATAGGCATTTGACTGTATCTACATTCTTCCGGATCCATGAGCTGTTTTAAGGAGAGTTTAAGATGTAGAATTTCACTAACAAACATCCATGTTGTACACTTATAAAAATTAATTTGAGGAAACACTAAATAAAAGACAATGAAAAAGTTTTTATTGAGCAACTCAAACCCTGAATTTACTTACAAGAATAGCAGTCCTCAAAGCAGCCACACAAGCCACTGCTCCAATCACGCATTCCTTGCTGCATGACCAGTGGTACTGGCTGGTTCACCACAACAGTTGTATTGGTGGCTTGGAAAGTTGGTTGAGGTGGTCCATACGGAGGGGGCCCCCCTGCACCATACTCTTCTTGCATTGTTGTGTACCCCACCATAGGTTTTTGAGACATGATGCTTTGGAACTCCTTGAACATTAACACAATGATTATTAATTTTAAAAAAATGAAATTGGGTTCTGACAAGGAGATAGCGAACATGCATAGATTAAAAATTTTGAGAAGCAAGCCCACCCTCCTGCACATATTATTTTGTTGTCTTACTTTTCCCTGGCTTTTTTCTCTTGAACTAAAAAATATATTGTTGGAATAATAATAATATTTGTATCTACTAGTCATAACAAAAAAAATTGAACCAATCAAACTTAGGATGGCTGCCTAGGTTGTGTGGGCATGTAAGCTCTGGATTACTGAAAACTGCATGTTTTTCCCACGTCCATCAAAGCAACCATAAGCAAGACTAATAAAAACACAATTGGCTATTAATGCGGATTAGGAGGAGATCTGCATCTGACACCATCTTGAAAAGGCACACAGAGATCACTGTTAGACTGTACGTTAGACTGTTCACAGTTCCCTATTTTTCTGCAAAACTGTTGTGATTGAGTGCTTTGCAACATGGGCGGCCATCTTGGTTTGATATGCTCCAAGGGGCCTGGGCTTCGGGGTACTGTCCCCTGCCCCCTAGGAACATTTGACACTCATCCCCAGGCTAGACTTGGTACATTTAAAATCAAGATGGCTGCCCATAATGCGTGTGTGTTTGATCTCGATGGCCTTTACAGAGAAAAAAAGGGGGACTGTGAACAGTCTAACTGTGTGTCATTTTTGGCATTTAAGTTACAACCCTGATGTTCAACACATTAGATCAGTTTTAAGGAACCAAGTCAGCTACGGAACCGTGCTGAACTGGACACTACTTTTGCCAGTTTGAAAAGTGTTTACTTCAACCTGAAATCAAATCTATGCATCGGATACATCTGAAAATCCGCTTCAATCCTGCCTTCCTGTGTTTCATTCGATCCTCAATCTTGTACTGAAAACCTTTTTTTGAGCAAACTTTTACTCATCCTATTACATTATTTTATCATACTTGGTTTAAAACAGTATTCAAAGGAACATAAACAGAAGAGGTGAGAAATACATAGGCGCCAGGCAGGGGAAATAGGCTTCGTTTACCAAAATAACAAGAGAAATGAATCAGTAACATTGGCAGGCAAACAATCATTACATACATTTGGAAAATTGATGGAAAAGGTATTTTTAGGAACATTCAAAAGCAAAGCTCTCATTATTTATAACAACCAAATTAGTCCACTTATATTGATGAAGAAGCTTGAATCATGAGGTTCATACAGCAATTTTCAAAACAGGACTGAGTACGGCCCATTTCAAATGTCGGCTACTGTCATGCTGAACTCAATTGATCGAATCAAGTTCAACTTTAGCACGGCAGTAGTGCAACGTTTGAAACCAAGTCGTGCTACTGACGTGTAGCACTGCAGTAGCTCAACTTGGTTTCAAACGTTGTGCCACCGCTGTGACAAACTCAATTCATAAACTAATACATGTAGTTTCCAATGGAAAGTGAAGTTCTGCAGGTAAAAGCATGACATTTCAAATAATCTGAATCAGTTGCAGTTTATTTTGATTGTTGATATTTGACATAAACAATGTCTTTAAACTGTGCATGTAACCCTACATGACACAAAAGAGATCAATAGTAACTGAACTTTGAACCAAAATAAGTGTATTATTTGTCTGAAACCTGTCCACGATAAAGTTAAGAGCACGCGAGAGAGGGCAACCGATGGAGTGAGTGAATGTATGAATTTCCAATCAAGTTCAATTTTTTATATGAAACTGATCATAACATTTTGCAAGCTTATCACTGAATCATATCATTTTCAATCTTTGCTTCCCTCGTGTATAAAACGTTTTGCTACTAAGGGAGAACAAACCTTGCCACACTTTCTTTTCATTTATGTAGAGGGGGGAAGGGAAAAAAAGAAAAGGGGGAGTCAAGGCTATTTCAGATTGGCTAGAGGGGGGGGGCTAAACTTTTTTGTTAAGATGTTTAGGGGGGTCAGCAGTTTGATAGCGAGGTATATTTTAAGAGGGGTCCATTGGCCAAGATGGGTAAAGCAGTTAAATAGTAGAGCATAAACAATATATGTGAAACAGTAGTGCTAAATTGTACAATTTTATGCTAATCCTATTGATTTTTGTTTGAGGCATCTCTTTTTTGTACAACTTAGTCATTTGTATTTGACTGAAATTCTGTTTACCCTCTAAACTTCACTTTTATTTCAAATTTTAGCTAATAAAAAATCCAGACCAATCTGCTTTAATATCTCATTTGACAAAATTTTCTTTTAATGAAATGCTTGTGTCACTTCAATATCCCACGAAAAACATGATGAAACAACAAGAAAGTAGTCCTTTTACAACTGTGGGAAAATCACTTGAAAAGAATCATATTTTGCATGGTTATAAATACATTTGTGTTCACTATGAAGGCACAATTTGTAAAAATCTATCACTTTTCCTATATTTATAACTGCTTTTGTAATAGAGTAGCTTAGTTCCATTGTTATGCAAAGTAACTAATCATCTTATGATTAGTACGTTTATTTACCAATTAAGTCTTAACTTGTAACAGGGTATTATTACATGAATTTTAATAATACTTTGTAGAGCATACAAGAGGAGATATGAGGTCAGGGGGTGGGTAATCACGTAAATTTTGAATAAAGAAGGGAGGTCACTTGCTATTTACATGGTCTGCAAGGGGGGCCTTACAGAAATCTTGATCTTTTGGACATACTTTTCCCTCCCCCGCTCTACATAAATAATGACCGGTCCCTTAACAACTACAGCAATTTTATCAATTAAAAATTTAGTGTAGAAGGCGTAGAGTTCCAGAAATTGTTTGAAATATTCTGAGAAACGTATCCTTTGAATTCATGCAAAATTTTTACCTTCACTCGCATTCATACTCTTTGCTTGCAAAAATGTGACTTTCTATACGAAACAGGCTTTCTCCCGGGCTTTAAGTTTTCCACATCACACTTTATTTGTGTTCTGACTATTCTTTTGGTTTCTTTCTGAATCGACTGACTGTGAACGAAAGAGCCTCGATTTCGACGGCCATCAAAATCTAGGCAAATGCGATGATATACATACAAACATATTTACATCCAAAAATCTCAAATGAGGCTGGCTTCCGGCACAGGCAACCCAGGCTCGTCACGTACGTGACCTACCAGGCTTAGCAGCGATTATAAATACAATAGAATATATTTAAAAGTTTGCTAAACCGTTTCTTTATTAATGTGTTTTGTTTTCGGCAACAACCGTTCCATTCGAATTAAATTCGACGTTTGAAACCAAGTCGTGCTGCAGTCGAGCGACAGTCATGTACAGTCGTGCCAGCTTTAATAGCACGGCAATAGCAGGACGTTTGAAACAGGCCAATATCACCCACAATAATTAAGCCGCGCTTGAACAATGCTGGGAATTTGATAAGTGAGAAGCTGTTTTTGACTAGGAATGAAGGTGGCCGTTACTGTGTTAGGATTGCCGAATAACAACTAAACAAGAAATCTTTGGTTCCCCGCCAAATCGCACGATTTCTCGAAGAACGAGCAAAGTTTCCGGTTTTCATCTGTTATATTGAAAGCATGAAAATTGTAATTAAGTATATCAGGGTGAATATATGTGATCACGCTCTGAACGACAATAAGCTCCACGTAAACAGCTGAGTATGTGGAGAAACTGTTAAGATAAATGTTACAGTGCTTAAAGGAAAAACAGCGACATTTAAGTGCCGTGTCGAATCTATCAGAATCTATGCACGCTCACTACGTTCGACTCGTAAAACCGCGCTAATACGACACAAACACGGAAAAGTATACGATCAATTATCTGCAACACAAAACAATCACTTAGATGACTATGATACCTGGACTGATATAAGAACCCTTTCACAAACACTTCGTTATAAAAACTTCTGTCTGAGGTCTGGCGAGATGCAATTCCTTGTTCGAGTCGACAGCTGAAAAAGGATGCCAAATACCTTGTCACGTGATTATGATGACGAAAACGGCAAGTCGAGGAATTAAGAGCATCTGGGCATGGCCGGTTCATTTTTTTGTTGAGAGAGAAATAAAAGACTTCATTAACCTGGGAAAGAGGTGGTTGATCGTACATGTTCATCCTTAACAAAACTAGCTTGAATGAATGAATGAATGAACATCTTTCACGTGTCAAAATCGTCTAGCTGGCCACCCGAGTAGTACTAATCGGTCAATCGGGGACACCTAGTTTGCCTGCGTGCAGACGTCTCCTATTTCCTTTGTTGCACGCGGAAAAGGGACCCTTTTCCGCGTGCAACAAAGGAAATAGGAGACGTCTGCACGCAGGCAAACACCTAGTTAGCACGGTCGTAGCGTGAGAGTGTTAAATTAATTAATAAGGCGTACGCACGGAAAGAAAAGTTACAGTGCAAAAGGTGCTCCAAGCTATAGGGGGGTTGAGAGGGGCATGCTTCCCAGGAAAATTTTTAAATTTAGGGTTTCGGAAATGCCATTTTCTGCGTTTCCGCAGAGCGTTTTCAGTGAATAAATACGAAGGAAAATGCAGCAGTTAGTTCTTTATTTTAACCATCTCTAGCGTTAAGGAATAGTAAAAGGATAAAGGAAATACCAAAACAAAGACACCGATATAATCTTCAGCCACCTCGATTTGATGATAAAAATATGTCTTTAGGAAAATGAAAGAAATATATTTTCCAGCTTTCAGTTGTACGCACGGGTGTATGTTCGCATATTAAGATTAAATTTGATAATATTTACAATAAATATTCACTACAAAATTACATTAGCAACGTTAAAATATTATATATAAAAATGAATAAATAAATAAATAAATAAATAATACTAATAATAACAATAAAATAGTATTGCTGGTTTTCAGTGTCACGCCACTAAAATGGATCAAAATAAAAATCAAAACCGTTCAATAGATAAAGTCCGGAATCTGGGAAATGAAAGGAGGTAAATATACAAAGCCCCTCGCCAAGATTCAGGTCACAAGAATATTCTGTATACGAGTTATCTGAAGAAATGTTTTACCAAAATTTATAGAGATTTGTATGGAGAGGCGCCATGCTGGTGCCCACCTGGATGGGCACCAACATGGCGGACGAAAACCAACAAAAACATCTGTTACCGAGTTTTGGTACAAAAGCGTGAATTTATTCCTCGAGGAACTCATAAACATTAAAGTAATACTTTTCCTAATCCATGAAGTGTTTAGATAGCAAAATTCCCCGAAATACCGTCATGTAAACGCCACGTCACGCAAAAGCTTAAAAATTCAAGCGTACTCCG